AAGGTCCTGTGTACACATTGGCATGCACGTAAAAGATCCCTTGACAGTTGGAATTCGATATAAGAGTAGGCCGTAGTGTCGCTGCCCAGGCAAAATTTCCCTTATAGCACACTGTATGGCGTATACCCATCTTCATTAGCCCAGTTTGGAGCAGAACAGTAGGATGTTAAACCCCATTTTATTGCATTTCATATAGCAGGTCTTAATTTTATCCTCAAATGTTATATACATTATTAATAAAAAAATTATTCACATGACAAGCCCATAATCATCTCTCTAGCTGATCTGATGGTTGTGATATTGAACGGATTGAATGAAACACTATCACCATTTGATAATTTAATTTAAAAATATATAATCAAGACTTTGTTTATTATCATAACAATGGTAGCTTAGAATGAAGTAATATTCCTTTTCAATATCTATTGTATAGTGAGAATTGTCAGCTCATTCTGAGAAAAAAAAGCTTTAGTTAAGTGTTTAAATGGTCCAAACTTGCATAAAATCTATATTCTGAATTAAAAACAGTGTTTGAAATAGAATTCGCTAAATCATTCCATAATGTTTATGTGTTCCTCTCATTGCTAAAGACCCCTACGCGCAGGCGAATTATTGAAATAAAATTGAACCATGTGTTATTCCCGAAATGACCTAGTTTGTGTTGAGTGGAGTTAATTTTAAGAAAAACCTGTAAAAAAATCAAAATATTGATAAGTTTATTGCCGAAACTAACCCAACAATGTCAATAACGTCATAAATTCGTCTGTCAAACTGAGATTCACCCAGCTGCACGCGGCATTTCCTCCTTAAATTTGATTGGCTAATGAAGTTACTCGCCACTTGTGTTACTAAAAATACACTTGAGACCTGAACGTCATGACTGATTTTCCTACGAACACCAGTAACAAACGCGTGATAATCGAGTCTAAAGTAAAGAATGTTTACATCCTGCATTTGGCATTCACGCTAAATAAACATGTTTCAAACTAATATTTATCGGTATTTCTTATTTTATCAGAACTTCGGTTTTTATTCCATTGTGCAGTCGTATAATTTTCAATCTGGGCCAATAATGGCCAAAGGAAACCTGATTGCCCTATCCACATTTATGTCGTGGGGTGAAGAAATCCATACGGAAATTGGTTTTAAAGAAGAGTCGTATGACTGTCAAAAACAGAAAGCGATGTTCACACATATTTACTGCAAAGCCAGGAATAGCAATTTCTTATGATTTTAAATTGAAACAATGTTACAAAATGTGTGCTCACGCAAACAACATTTTGCGTGAGCAATTTTTATTGCTCGCCTTGCTCGCCCAAACCTAAATTTGCGTGAGCAGTGATCTGCTCGCCATCAATTTATTCGTGGCCAGCCCTGACTGATCGACATCATTTTGACGTTATGACGTCAAGTGGTCAGGCTAAATAAAGGCTGACGTGAAATATTTTGTATGCCTATTTTAATCGACGACTGCCGAATAATTATAAGTGATAGACTCTTGACACCAATAAAAAAGTTGCTGGGGATAAGTTGATCTATAATTTGCATATCATTCTAAATCCTTTTCATCAGAAATATCGTCTTCAGAATCGGTGTCATCGATATAATCCGATTCGGAATAATTCATAAGTATTTCAACCACTTCGAGCGTCTTTAACGTTCCCGACACCGTTAAATTACGTTTTTCGTCCAAAAATGTTGAACAAAGACATGTTTTTCTCAATGCCCTTGACAAGTCAAGTTCCTGTCTGACACGCATGTGTGGCCATATCAATTAAATACGAAACTAAATACTCAAATGCGGCTTATAAAAAAGGTTCTTGCTGTGGTCGACTTTAGTCGACCGTGTAAAGTCGACTGTGACCACTTAGCTGTATAACGTTGTAGTGACTATAGTCGAAAATGACCGGTTAAGGGTTAAGACATTATGTCTTAGAAGAAAATGTATGCATTAGATTAAATATCTTATTTCAGATTGCATTAAGACTTCATCATACAACAATGGGTGGAAAACAGATCAGTGTACAATTCTCTCCAAATATCATCTCTAAATCGAAAAAAAGAAAGTCTAAATAAAGATCTCACCAACCATGACCTGGAAGCCTGTCCGTCTTCAGTTTAATACTGTATTCATCATCCACTTACACAACAGACGGATTTGCAAAAAAATTTCAAAAATACGTAAATTTTGGTCTGAATTTATGTGCACTGTTTCCATATTGTTGTTGATATTCATTGGATTAACTGAGATATATTGTACTTGATCTGATCGCATGTTTCAAACTTTTGTGTGTGTTGATGGATGATTTGTGTCTGTCAAAATGATCTGGTGGATGTCCGCAAAAGACGAGACAATTTATATTGATGTTTGTGAAACAGTGTTTAATCTGAGTGACAGAGAGGCTATTATTTATATACATTCATAACTAGAGTTAATTTATTATTATTATGATGAAATATTCTTTGAATATTAATGTTAATACTTGATGTTGGTGTGGTGGTACAATGTTTTCTATACAATGGAGAATATACAAACAGAGTCTACATTATAGTCTAAATTGCTGTGCCAGTCAATTGTATGATCAATTCTTAAAGATGCCTTTTGATCGAGTCTGACTGGCACAATAAGCAATAAGACTAAATCTAATTTGAATATACATGTACATGATTTATTTGATGGTGTACATAAAATTAACTGAATTATTTTCAGAATGGGATTTTGACAGTCAGTAAATTATTAATGTATTAGACATTTATATAGACTATGGTTTTTGATTTCTTAATACAATGCTGTTATGTGCCAGGCATGTATATTAGATACAATATCAGTTAAAAACCTTGCAATTGCAGGGGAGTCACTTTAATACAATGCTGTTTTGTGTCAGACATGTATATTGGATACAATATCCATTAAAAACCTTGCAATTGGAAGGGAGTCACTTTAAAGAGGATCTTTAATAGGGCAAAATATTTCGGTGTGATGTGATTTAACTTGACTATATACATGTATCTCCAGGGATGCGCAAATTAGATTTATATAAATATATGCACATGTAGGCTACCATCTACATGTAATTTTCCTCCCAGATTCAAAGTGGCTTCTACTTAAATGTCCTTCATGTACAAATTGTGTTGTATCATCTATAAAGATTAAAAGAATGGGCTAATGATCTAACCAAAGGAGTCATTTCTTTTTTTGTTCTTTAGATATATAAGTGGAGTAACTCTTAACCAACTAACCTTGCCTCCTAATCTTAAGTCTAAATCTAAATTGAATTTGTTTAATATTCAGCTTCTATGAAGTATATTTTTTGGTTGGATTGTCAATCCTACCCATTCATGTTGTGTTGAAATGTAACTAATGGTGTTATATCAGCCTTTAGTTTTAACTTTTTTGAGTAAATAAAAATTTCAGATTTGGTACAAATGTGTGTATTTTCTTACCCTTTCAGAGAACTATTAAAATGGGTTTGTCTGTTTATCTATCCATCACACTTTTTGGAACACAATATTTGGAAGTATAAAGTTCAAAATTGGTGTAGATGTCCATTAGACGTGTCAATATTTTGTGTGAATAGAAAATCCAGATTTGGTACAAATTTGTTTATTGTCCAACCCTGTTGGAGAAAGCAGGTATTCATTTGTCTATCCGTCACATGTTTTGAAGTCTCTGCTTCTAATTGAGGTAGAATATTCAAACTTCGTATAGGTACATGTATTTATAAGGTCAATTGCCTTGATGGAGCTGAAGATGAGCATTTTCTACTGAGGCTAAGTAGAAATAAGCAATTTCATTGGTTGATGCTTTGGGACATGAAAACTTTAATTTTAATTAATTGAGAGTAGTGATACTTATGGCATTTTCTGCTTGGACCAAGCAGATTTGATTTGATATGTGAATGCTTTGGGGCTCCTTGTGAGAGTGATGAATCTTGTTGCATACATGTAGTTTCATTGCATCAGTACCGGAGGTAAGTTCTATACTGTGCATTTTCTGCCCAGGTTAAGTGGGGTGATAAATAGACTTTTTGATGCTCTTATATTTATTACTTATGGAAGGTTTTGTTAAATTGTAATAAAATCAAAATTGAAGCTGATCACATAGATGTTCAGTCATCATTTTGGGTAATTATCAAGGGAGAAAGTTGTGTAAAGCTGAAAAGGAGCAGGGTCGCCTGTCCAACCTCGTGGATTTTCTTCGCAATCTCCGGTTTCCTCCCATTGTTAAAGACCCCTATGTGCAAGCGATCTATTGAAATAAAGTTGAACATGTTGGTCCTGAAATGACTAGTTTGTGTCCAGTGGACATTTAACCCCATAACTCTCACTCTCTAAGCCAATAAGCCAAGTACAGTCTTTTAGTAGGCCTAAGCCGAGTAATATGAACCCACCAGACAATATTATATTTATGATGCCAACTTGATAACACATTGTATATCTGGGTTCCTGATATTTGTGCCAATGTAGTGTAGCATGCAAGAAGAACCACTTTTAAGGGCACGTTAACTGTTAATCGGTGATCTGTTATCTATCAAATTTAGATAGTTCAGAATTGACTTCATGATTATGATTTTGGAGTATAGTGGATGAATTTTAATACTGGTACACATTGTCGTCACCACTGTCAGTCCGTCTGTTTACAATTTTATTAAACTTTGTAGAGGTTAGAGGGCACATACAAGATCCTTTGGCAGTTGGAATTCGAAATAAGAGTTGGTCGTCGAGTCGCTCGCTACCCGTGTAAATTCTCCCTCATAGCAAACTGCATGGCCTATTATAACCGTTTTCGTTAACATAGCTGGTGCACAACAGTAAGACGTTAAACCCCTTTTCATTTTTTTCTAGGGTAAATGTATGGGGCGGGATCATGCATGCTAAGAACATAGTGTCCAGTAGAAATACCGTTTCTTAGTAATTTGAGTATGTAAGAAAATCTCGTATTTTCCGCCTGTAATTGCAGCAGATATCTTCACGGGGAACAGACAAACTGATACGCCGAAGAGAGATAAATTAAAATTTATTCAGTGCAGAATTAAATCTAGTAAATGCGTGGTTGCTGCCCATGACAGAAGATGTTAAATAGGCCAGTTCACGTAACTACGGAATGTTTCGGTTGCTGTTGAGGGGTCCCCGATCACCAACCTCGAACTGGAGTCCACACATCAACTATCTTGTCCCCAGAATGTACGTAGTAATGGTGAAAGTTTGTACCAGTATTACAACACTAAAAAATAAACAAAAAGTAAATTTTACGGTCGCACAGGAATTTTAGTTTGCTTTAACTTTTCCTTTAAAATTTTCTTTAAATAACTGACTAAAATACGCGATGAAAATTCACTGCTGAATGGAAGTACTGGTTAGACACAATGCAGCTGAAATGTGTTTTTGATATGATTGTAGGTTGGACATTTACTGACACAACAAGAAAACAACAACCAACGGAGGATATAACAACTTTTTGGCGTGAAACCTAGGCACGAGGGGAAACATTGTCGGTCAGTAACGGCGTCGAGTCAGAATTGGCCCAACGGTATATTTTCCTCGGTGGAACCGGATGTTAAGGCCCACGAACGAACGGCCCAACGTAAAACTATCCGGTAGATCGTAGTCGGCGACGAACATTGTCAGCACTGGTGTGCAGTTGCCGACCTCTGCATATCGTTGCGTCCACAGAACTGTATGACTTGTACCGGCTCTATCTTCTTAAAAGCCACATTTTATACCTCAGAGGAAAACCATAAAATCCCATTTTTTTAACAATCCATTCTATCCAATATCAAGTTTATATGTTTCAGAAAATTGATCTGTGGTGCTCTATACGCGATCGTGGAAATAAAAATATCAAATGTTACCGTCGCGATCTAATGATTCAAAATAGCAAGATTAAAGACACATTATGGGAGATTAGATAACGAGTTGGTAGTTCTCACTATAATAGTTAAAAAATAGATAATGTAAAGGCAATTTGCTGAAAATTTCAGTCAAATTGATCAACTATGAAAATTAAATCGTGAAGGAAAGTTATGCAATAAATCCGAACATAATCCACTAAAGATCACAGGCTAGCGATGCCATCGAGAGTTGATTATGGTCTGGATAAGTTCATTAATGTCTAATTAATAATTTAGATAACATTTCAGGCCTAAAGAATGACCTGCAATAGACAGATGTAGCTCTTGCATAATGTATGTTTAAAGTGTATCTCTCAAACGAGATATCCAATAATCCAGTATATGTCTCAGTATATGTTCCCTATTTTGTAATCTCCAAGGATCATTATTTTCCAATTCATAAAATGGCTCCTAGAAGAAGGTAATCCAATAAGTACTATGATATACTTACATGGAAAGGATAAATAAATAACATTGTACCAATTGGATATTTATCAAAATCTAAAACGCCATCCTTCAGAGTCACTTTCCCTAGCTCCTGTGTTAAGCCCTTTAACCTAGGATTAAGAAAATTAAATTAATTTGTATTCGTTGTTCGGTTTATTTTCATGGCCTAACAATCTCGTGGTCAGTGTGTCAAAGGCATTTCTTACACGGATTCTAGTTGTAAACACTAATCATGATCTTCGGTTGTTGTTCTTGGTGTATAAAGTCCGCTTCCAACGGGGTGGTATCGCAGACCAGTTATTTTCATGTTTATTATCTTAGCACGCGCACGAGTCTTTCCTGTGGGATGAAACCGAAGTACCTGAGGTAAACCCACGAGGTTCAGACGGCGCCCCTACTCGCCAAGTCACATACGCTCACACCAGGGATCGAAACCACGACCACAAGCCACAAGTGACCGGCCAGCTACAGCTCGAAGCGCGACACTTTAGATCATTTTGCACCCCCCCCTCGGCTATTATCTTCGGCTTCACTAAGTGACAATATTTATAACACGACGGTCAAGGTGTTAACTGTCCAACCTCGTGGGTTTTCTCCGGGTCCTCCGGTTTCCTCCCACTGCTAAAGAGCCCTACGCGCAAGCGAATTATGTAAATAAAATTAAACCATATGTTAGTCCCGAAATGACCTAGTTTGTGTCGAGTGGACGTTAAACCCCATTTCTCTCTCTCTCTCTCTCTCTCTCTCTCTCTCTCTCTCTCAAGGTGTTAAACCTGTTAACGAATGAAGCGTGATATAAATGACCTGTCAATAATGAGTGAAATAAGAATGTTCATGCTCGTTGTTATTGTACAGAAAATCCACCCACTTCTCTATATGAATTCTAATAAAACTGGTGAAAACTAGAAAACATGTGCAATAACATTGAAGTTGTCTAGTTATTTCATAGTTAAGCTCCATCCAATCTATTAGCGCGACACCAATCTGCATATTCAACGCAAAGAACTAAGAAAGATTTCCCGTCCATGTTTCACATTTTGTTCAAGAAAATGTTTTTTGTGAGCGTTGGGGATAGGAATTGCCTCTTAAAGCCCAGGGACCCTCTTTATCTAATCAGGCACTAAGCAAATTTGTACATGTAAGTCGTCGGGAGTCATATGATTGGTTGATGGTTTGAAAATAATGTTGATCGTATGGGGGTAAAAAAAATACATGCATTCAATATCATTCCCAATTATTACCAGGCTAATTTTGTAAAATGTAAAGAAGAATTTTTGATTGAATATTACACAAATTATAATACATTTTTGTATTTTTATAAATTATTTTAATATAAAGGATTTTAAAATGATTAGTTTGTAGTTAAAATTAATGGTCCCGAGATTAGCATATGACTCACCTTAAATCGGGATGATCTTGAAAAGCACACAGGTCTCCATAATTACCAACTTCTTCAAAACCATTGAAAGAGAGAGCGAGAAAACCACAGTCAATGAGGAGGTGATTTTTAGACTTCTTGTGGGAGATAACTCTTGCTGCTACCTTGACAGCGATGTCTCTTATTGTACACGCTCCATTTAAAGTGTGACCATAATCTTTAAAACAAAACCATTTCAAATCAGTTATATTATCTGTGACGGAATACTTGCTTAGCATGTTTCTAATACGAAATTGAAGTGATCTACCCTTATACCACCCCATCCCACCCCGAAGAAAGAAATCCTTTCACAATTATCAAATTAATCCGAAAATCCCCCAAGACGAGAATCACCTACAACAAGTTAGACCAGATGTCAAATACTCTGGAAATAGTTAGCCTACAAAGCCCCATGTACGACACCCAGTGAAGCAAAATCACCTTGGGCATGATCTGGAGATTTTGCTTCAACTATACAACATTTTTTGCATTGGTCTGTGGCTTGAAATGGATGATTTTTGTCTGAGTAGCAAGACTCTCCCTCCATTCTGCGAGAATGCATGTTCCTGTAGCAACTACTGCGTGTTTTACAACATCTGGACGTTGCTAGATTACTTCACAATTCTCGAACTTATAGCTATGTTATCTAAAGACACATGAACAGTAGCGTCCAATCAGAGATTGTGACATCGCGACCTCCACGGAAACCTTGACATTGGACGAACCTTGAACTTTGCAACCCGATTATCACAGGTCGACATTTTAGCTTGAAAGCGCGAGACTTGGTATTTGCGACGACCAAGGAATCTGATAGGTTCACAAGCTGGGCTTGTGCCCAATCGAAATTAGTGCCGAAATATGCAGGGTATAACGTGAAGGCCTTGATAAGATGTACGTGGTTAAAGCGAGATCAAACCTTCTGTTGAAGATGGCGAGAATGTAGCATTTTATTTTGCACAAAAGCCTCAAAAAGTTTAAGTGTGTGGATAAAATATAATTACCATTAAATATATAACCACCAGGATGTATTTCAGTGAGATTCGCCATTTTCTGTGTTGGTTGATTACAAGATGGCGTAGAACCGCTGCCAACAGTTTCACATTTAATGCCGTGTTCTTCTAGGCTAGAAAATCATTTATTTCTTATATTTGACTACCACCAAATTTTCTTTGAAGCACGGTGTCACGGTGGCTCTAGATTAGGTTACAAATAAAACCTGTGTTACAGAAAATTGCACGAAGTTCTTTGATTATCCATACATCTGAATACACTGTTATTGAACATAACAATAGGCCTTAATGGGACTGAATCGATATATGAATCGTATACATAATTATATCATACAATAAAATGACCATATAGTTTCAAATAGAAGAACGTTTGCGATTAGATAAAACATACCTTGCCTCGTGCACATCGCGCGAAATTATTTAGCGCAAACGTACAAAATTAAGGTTTCAACGTCCCATCTCATTCTACCGTATGGATGTAACACTTCCACTTACCGTTTAGCAACAGAGGCGATTCTGTCGCAAGTCTCATCGACAACTTTGTGGATCTCTTCAACATTTTTCGCATCGTATGAATTCCCACAGTGAGTATATAAACCCAAAAAGTTTATATTTTTACTTTCATTGGCTTCCATAGCAACAGATAAAACTTCTTCTCCATCCCATTCTAATCCGGCTGAAATTACAAGAAGAAGTAGAAACAATATCTCTAAATATTTTCATGGCCGTTCCTCTGAGAAAATTCAAGAACGACCCCCAACTAATTATGGAAAGCCAAAAATACAGAATTTGTATGTCTGTTTCTATCTTTATTCTCGGAAATTGTTTTTCAGGCGCCTGGATAACTGAGTTAACTTTAATGACTATTTCGCTTGATACTTAAATGTTTTGTGAAATAGCAATAGACTTGATTACACACGCAATATTTATTTTTAAACGTGGCTGGCGATGTTATCAATTCTTTCGACATGCTTTGAAGCCATATTTACAGGATAAGAGAGAGAGAGAGAGAGTGAGAGAGATAGAGAGAGAGATAGAGAGAGAGATGGGGTTTAACCTCCACTCGACACAAACTATGTCATTTAGGGACTGACATATGGTTTGAATTTCATTTCAATAATTCGTTTGTGCGTAGGGGTCTTTAGCAGTGTGAGGAAACCGGAGGACCCCGAGATGGGGTTTCACCTCCACTCGACACAAACTATGTCATTTAGGGACTAACATATGGTTTGAATTTCATTTCAAGAATTCGTTTGTGCGTAGGGGTCTTTAGCAGTGGGAGGAAACCGGAGGACCCCGAGAAAATCCACGAGGTTGGACAAGCGACCCTACCCCTTGTCACATACAGCCGGGGATTCGAAACCACGCCAGTTAACTCAATGACAGGCCTTATGATACAGCGCGCACTTGCTAAACATTCGGCCATCCAGCCCCCCATACAAGGTCAACCACTAACGAGATAATATTGTTTACTTTCAATAACCTAGTTTGCAATCAAAAGTGACATATCTCAAACATCAACATATATGTTTTGAATAAGTTATTGAAATGATTTTGACGGTATACAACTCGTAGCACCGAGTAAAATACAGTATTTGCTTTCCATAGAACTTTTGAGTTTATTTTAACAGAAGTGTTACCGAGAATGAACCGGGGGGTCACGGTGGCCAAGTGGGTAAGACGCTGGCTCGCTAGCCTGGAAGTCGGGTGTTCGATCCCTGCATTGGCCTAGAAAGTTCATCCAGATTTGCCGGCGTGTTTCTCTGTCTAGTCGTTCGGATGGGACGAAAAAACGAAGCCCCGTGTACACAATGGTGTGCACGTAAAATATCCCTTGACAATTGGAATTCGATATAAGAGTAGGCCGTAGTGCCGCTGCCCGGGCAAAATTTCCCTCATAAGACACTGTATGGCGTATGCCTGTCTTCATTGGACCAGTTCGGAGCAGAACAGTAGGACGTTAAACCCCATTTCATTTTATTTCATTTCGAGAATGAAACATGTATCAGACACCATACTTACTTCTACCGTAGCCACAGTCTATATCTAAGATGGCTGCCCAGGGTTGACCATCATTACGTGGATTATTAATCATACATTTTAGACCATACATACTATCAAACATCAACTTTAAACTCGGTACTTCTTTTATTATATCTTGAAAGCTTTAAAAACAAACATATTTTCTATGTGTGGATTTCGCACTTAATGTGTCATATTAATCCCAGCTGTGGTTTCCCATTGGCGGTGGATCAGGGGCAGTGTTTAGTCGCTAGGATAGGACGAAAAACCGAGGTCCCGCGTACAGGCTGACGTGCATGTAGAAGAACATTTGGCAGTTGGAATTCGAAATAATAGTAGGCAGTAGCGCCGCTGTCCTGGCAAAATTTCCCTCATAGCACTATTCATTATCCTAGTCGGTGCAGACAAATAGGACATTAAACCCCATTTCATTTCACTTTATTTTATATTAGTCGAATCTTAATGACTACTCACCCTTTTATTTTGTGATCTGTGATAGGTACGGCATATAGAATATCCGTGAATCCTCCATTAGAGAAAAACAAAGCTTCTTTTATTGTTGAGACACTGATCCTTGATTTAGTTCCTCCAGTGCTGATAGTACCTATTTCACTGTGATATATAAAAACAACATCTGATAGGACCTAGTTCATCATTTAATATTAAAAAAAATAAAAAAAAATACTGATGGGGTCTAGTTCATTATTTAATATAAAAACATCTACTGATAGGACCTATAATTTATTATTTAATATAAAAACAACAACTGATAGGACCTATTTATTATTCAATATAAAAACAGCTACTGATAAGACCTAGTTTATTATCTAGTATAAAAAAAAAACTACTGATAGGACCTAGTTTATTATTTAATATAAAAACAACCACTGATAGGACCAAGTTACGGTCCGATACATGCCAATACAGAAAGGGACCGAGATCTTTAGGATATAAACCTATATTTCAATTTTCGTCAAAATCGAAAATACCTGCAGAGTGCAGAGTGTCCACAAACAAAGTGCGAACGGACGTCAAAATCAAAAATACCTGCAGAGTGCAGAGTGTCCACAAACAAAGTGCGAACGGACGGACAGGCGGACAGGGGCGACGACAATATACGTCCACATGAAAATGTGGGCGTATAAAAACAATAACTAATAGCAACTATTTCACTGTTCGATATACAAACAACTTTCACTGTGACTGTATATAAAAACAACTATAAAACAACTGGCTTCAATAGCATGTACATATTTCATAGCTAAAATATAAACACTGGGCCCTTATTCACGAAAACTTAAACTAAGCTACAACCTAAATTTTAAGAAATACTGCAACTTCATTGGATATATATGCAAATTGATTTTACTGGTCAGCCAATCGAATTGCAGCATTTCTTAAAATTTGGGTTGTATCTTAGTTTAAGTTTTCGTGAATAAGGGCCCAGGTAGCGCCCATTTCACCCTTATTTATATTAAAAACAAATGGTAGCATTGAACGATTGTCATCCCACAAAACAACGCAACATATAAAATACCATGAAATCCATAATAGCATTTCTTTTTCATCCAAATATCAAAGGGATCTACTTAAATAATGCCGACAAAATATTATGTCAAGGGCACGGTAAAATGACACCATCTTGTTCCATAGTAGTCTCAACGCACGTGGTTTGCTAAAACAAAGATAGTTTTCAAAATTTGAAGTCTTGACGGTTGTAGTGTATATATTCAGGTATCTCTGTGGACTTTGTGATTTCCCATATTGAGTTGTTTATCCCGTAGCTGTGCGGTGCTGAATGGTATATCTGCTTCGTATTTTCCAAAGTTACAAATTCCAAAGTCATTATTTTTGATTTTCATCCATTTTTTATTGTTCAGTATCATCTCAAGCATGTCTAGACACCAAAATAAAGGCATTAAAGGTATTGTGAATGATTGTTTGAGGCCCCCCACCCCCATTTCAGGTGTTGTGACAATTTTTGTCACTTTACCTTGCCCTTAATTATCTGGAACAGATAATTTGATTCCACTTTGTCACGTCGTCTTGCCTCACAACTGTGTGCTAAACTTAAATAGAAATAGAAAATATTTTGAGTGGTATCACTGAAAAATAAAATAATAAGGAACATTTCCGTCACTGAAAGTACTTGAGGCCCCCCACCCCCATTTCAGGTGTTGTGACAATTTTTGTCACTTTACCTTGCCCTTAATTATCTGGAACAGATAATTTGATTCCACTTTGTCACGTCGTCTTGCCTCACATCTCACAACTGTGTGCTAAACTTAAATAGAAATAGAAAATATTTTGAGTGGTATCACTGAAAAATAAAATAATAAGGAACATTTCCGTCACTGAAAGTACTTTACACTTACCGACATTTATGTGTTTTGACATGAGGTCGCAATTCTACCCCTAATTCCCTGGCTGTCGTCAACATCTTCTTGGCATTTTCATTTAAAATATCTAGATCTATCAAAAAGTTTGGAGTGGATACGTCATATATAGATGTTAGCAATGCGTCACTGCTCATTTTCTATGTATATGTCTATTGCTGTAAAAAAAAAGAATTAAGTCATGATCGTTGGGATCGACAATGGCCGGAAAACCCGCCTACACATTTGGTGAGGTCAGAACAAAATGTTAGTGCTAGTGTTTCTGCTATACGAGTTTGTGTCAGCTAAATAGTTCACCAGGATCCCATTATACTTTGGGAAAATAAATTCAATTTTAAATTTGATATGCATGGCCATTTTCAAAATTAGTTTTTTCTATAATTATATGATTCTGAGGAGACAAACACTTAAAATATATTTATTATTTAATTATTTACCTCAAAACTTAACACTAACTCATTTTACTGAGCTACGCCATATTTATAACATGTTCGTGTCTTTAAATTACACAAATGAAGTGAACCCAACTGCAATATCACGCTAAGTGTTTCCTAACCTCGGCTCAGGGAAGTTTACCGATTTTTTAACATGGGGCCCAATAGACCAGTAACTGTATCCCTTTGGGGTTGACACTTTATCGAGATCAATTTTTCACAAACGTTTGTCATTTTCCTCCTAATGCCGTTATTCATTATGAAAAGCCCTACAAGATTTATGTAAAACACACAAAATTTGAGATTTCATTGAGTCAATTTTTTTTACATAAGTTAAGATACGAAGCGGGTTGAGCGGAAGCCATTTTTAAATTTGTTTCGAGTAACACGAGCACCGTGTTACAAATGGCGCTGAAACGCATTATGGTACACGATTCGTGTACCAATGGTAAAATGTTTATTTTTTTCTTAATTGGATATCAGAAGCCCATCTTTTCGTGTTTTCAATGTCGAAGATTTTGGATGATATTGAGTTACGGACTTAGCTACTATTTAAGGTCCAAATTTAGGAAAATAGTTAAACTAGTGTTACATTACGTCACATATATTAACTCCAACACTGCTTTTGACCTCACCCATTGACGTGCTTGTAAAAGAACGCTTGAATTAGGAATTCGAAGTATATCGCATGGAACCGAGATCGTTTGGAGCTAAACCTATATTTCAAGTTTCGTCAAAATCGGATACAAATTGTGACCTGTAGAGTGTCAAGGGCGACGACAATATACGTCCACATGGAAATGAGGGCCTATAAAAACTTTTTTTTTAATTCATAGGAAAATCATTGTAGTAATAAATGTGAAATTAAGAAATATATTACGATTATTATCCATCATCTTCTAAACTACAATTTTTTCATATGTTTAATAAGGTACGATTTGGTTTAAGAACTAATTGTTCACGTATTAAACGTTAACAGGTTGAATAGAAGGTTGTGATTGGTTGATACTGGGTCAGCTAGTACGCTGTTTGGGCGGTGGTACTTTTTACCGCCGACCACCGCCGACCAAATGCTTTTTACCGCCGACCGTCGTGTAATTACCGCCGACTAAATACTTTTTTACCGCCGACCGCATTGTAATGACTTTCGATCGTAATATAATTACCGCCGACCAAATACTTGTTACCGCCGACCAAATGCTTGTTACCGCCGACTATATAAAATTAATTAAATTATTAGTGACAAATAAATAGATTTGGTTAAATACACAGAGTTTGATAAAAAAAAATATAGATTTTATTATATATAAATATGGTCGACAATCGAAGACGATAATGTCCAACCTATCACCAAATTAGTGGGGCCTCATATGAGATCTTACACAAACGACCACAAAGAGGGCAACTGACTGCACCCTCTGCAGTGAAAGGTCGATTCGTTGCCGCCTCACGTCTCTTCTGCTGGTCAATATAAATCATATAAATTATTATTCTTTGGATGGGAACTATATGCCTATGTTGTTTAATATGGCAAGATGTGATTTTCAAGTGTCAATTAGCCATATATACAGATTAATGACCATGTGCAATATACATGGACATCTCTATACGTTCTTGATTAAGGTGTGAATTCAGGTAGTTGTTAACTCAGATTGTTCTGGCTACTACTTGGCATGTGTCTGTTCGGCGGTAAAAGTATTGGTCGGCGGTAGTCGTCGGTGGTCGGCGGTAAAAAGTACCACCCGTTAAAAGCCTCTTTGGCTGGGGTATATTTTTCTTTCGATTTAAAACAAAATATCAACGTACGGTTGTATAATTATTACACACCACATAGGTATGGCTACAGTAATCGATATCTTACCTGATATTAATACGGCGTAGTTACTGAGTATGCTTATAATGTTATTGCACAGACAAAACGAGCCGACAGATTTGGATTATCGACGCTTCGTACTTCTGTATAACCCCTGGAAAAGTCTGTTAGGATATGCGCGGTACGTGATGGCTACCCATATGTTAAACAATGTAGGTAACTATGTAGATTGATTTATCGTTCGACAGTAAAACCATTGATCGTATATATAGTACAGTTCTGGGTTAAAATGTAGGTCGTGTGTTGCCCGGATGTGCCCAGCACTTATGAATATCCATATCAAGATTGTTACGCAAGAAGCTTGAATGAACTCTAAACAGCAAGACACCATTTTACCAATATGACAATTAAAGCCAGTAAAGCCATATTGGTTAGTTAACCCAAAACATTAATATTAATTGTTGTGTGGAGTAAATTAAACTTTTTTTTAAAGCGAGAATAATATAATGCCTTATCCTACAGGAAATTTTATTACATAGTGAAAGGCAACACATATATACAGATATAAATAATAAATTATTAAGTTATAATAAATCATTTAATTTTCATAAAATTATAGAATTAAAAATATCATCTTAAACAGAGTAGCTTATATAAAGCAGATTTTATAGATCCATGCAAATTAAAACTGTTTTACACAGTGAAAAACAACACATGTACAGATAAATAATAAATTATTGAGTTATAAAAATCATGTAATTTCCATAAAGGTATAGAATTGAAAATATCGTCTCAAACAGAGTAGTCTATACACAACAGATTGTGTAAACTTATAAAAATTTCATATCTAAAAAATGAAATGAATGATTGCTATACTAAAATACCGTGTATTAGATATATCAGAGGCTTCATCATTAATGCAAACGCAAGAAACCGGAAATGGTTGATAATGTAGGACAGGGTTCGGATACTGGATGCAGCGGCAGCTAATGTCATGAAACAAACAATAAACAAGATTTAATTTGATACTTTTTATTATAAATCAAACAACAATGGATTCTGGAAATGTGGCGTGTGCCCTTAATGTCTCAAATGATTGATTTGCCCGAAAAATACTAAACAGAAATCATGAAATTTATACGCCAAAGTCTATTTCTCAAACTACGGAATGAATTAACCAACTGTGGTGAATCGATTCATCGATCCTGTACAGCACGTTACCCTACAATTAAAAACGAAATCACCGAATTCTTCTTCACGAATCAAGAGAAAAGGCCGCAATGCCTATATCTCCAGTGTCTGACAGTAGAATGCAATGTCTAAACTACTAGAACACCATTAAAAAAGAAATCACCGAATTCTTCCTCACGATTCAAGTGACCAAATTCCAATATGGTTTAGTACGTGGATCGGTTCAGCGGTCCCCACAGCGAAGCGACAAGTAGATAGAAATTATACTATTTTCCCCCAAATCAGAACTATTATCTAAGAGTAAGAAATGCGCTCAAACAATCGTGTGGATTATATTATATTAATTTATTTTCAAAGTCGATTTCAAATTCGCAATTTTCATGGTCAATGCGCGAATGCAAATGCCTGTAAGATTATAATGGCTCTCAGATGAAAAATGTCGCGTTAACAAGCCGAAAAGTATATGTTAATGATAAATTTAATAGCTTTGTTTCTATATTCTCAATTACCATATCCAGTAATATTTTTTTTAAAAAACAAAACAAAAACAAAAACAAAAAAACCCCAACAAACCCCGTAGCTTGTGATTGCTACGCATAACATAACCTTTGTATAACAGCATTGTTTCTATGTTCTCAATTATTCAGTATTACTATAACAATAGTCCAATGAAATCATCAATCTAATTTGTGATCCAGATCAAAGATGTATAGCCATGTTAAGAAATTCGCTTTAAATATGCAATCTTACCGTATACTGTTTGTCACTGAAGGAGACCGTTATCGAAACTGGACAAAACTATACAAATACACGTAGATAAATGAAACAGTTTAATTTATTAATAAATTCATGATTATCTTTGTTTATCTCTCTCGTTGGCTTGTAATTTATTAATTTATGCACATGGATAACATAACGTTGACCAGTTTTACTAGCTACAAAGGTACTGATATACTTCATATTAAAAATTAATGGTAAATACATAATAAATATTGTTTCAGGTTCCAGTAGTATACATACATAATTTTTACCGATACAAAAATAGGTCATAGGCTTATATTAACGTTCTTCCATTAGATATGTATTTAGTACAACAAGCCTGATCACCGTTAATGATTATAATAAAAAATATTTAAAAAAAGGAAGGAGAAGATGAGTTGAGGTCAAAATGTGTAATTTGCTAGTAAAACAAAAGTAAAAGACCCAGTTTAATCTAAAAATACTACTAATTACCAAATCCATATTTGAACAAGCGATTCATATTAATTCAAACACGATTTGGTAATCTAATGGTCTTCTATCATATTGGATAGTTTAATATAGTTTTACGACGCTCTTCGCTAAATATAGGACTTACCAAGAGAGAGGGAGAGAGCAATGAGGTTTAACGTCCACTCGACACAAACTGGGTCATTTCGGGACTAACACATGGTTCAATTTTATTTCAATAATTCGCTTACGCGTAGGGGTCTTTAGCAGTGGAGGGAAACTGGAGGACCCGAAGAAAACCCACGAGGTTAGACAAGCGACCCTACTCCTTGCCACGAACAACCAGGGAATCGAAACCACGCCTGTTGACTCAATGGCAGGCCTTATGATACAGCGCGCACGTGCTAACCATTCGGCCATCCACCCCCCCCCCCTTTATGATTTGAAATATGTATATAAGTAATTTGCAACGTGCATCGTTTTTGTGATTTTGGTGTTAAATTCTACAATCGTTAATGACTTTTTAATATGATCTAATTTATTCCATTCCATCCACCAGAAGGTTTATGAAACATCAGTAGGCTACGTTATCCGATTTCACGTTATTTTTTAGAGTAAGAGTATGTCTTGACATGTTGAGTCGAATATTGTTTGAATATTCTGCGGCGAAAGTTTATTGATAATTTTATAAAATGTTTCGAGCCGATTTCGACACCGAATAGTTTTCATGGCGTAATTCCACTTTGTTTATAAATAATTCCAATTACACGATTTTCTCCTTGGACCTGTGGGGGGGTTGCATGGCTGAATGGTTAGCGTGAGCGCGCTGTATCATAAAGTCTGTCATTGAGTCGACTGGCGTGGTTTCGAATCCCCGGTTGTACGTGACAAGGAGTAGGGTCGCCTGTCCAACCTCGTGGGTTTTCTCCGGGTCCTCCGGTTTCCTCCCACTGCTAAAGACCCCTACGCGCTAGCGAATTATTGAAATAAAATTTAAAAACCATATGTTAGTCCCGAAATGACCTAGTTTGTGTCGAGTGGACGTTAAACCCCATTTCTCTCTCTCTCTCCTTGGACCTGTGACTGTACGTTGTCAGTCTAAATGCAGAATTTCACTTTACTCAGGAAAAATGTCTGTACAGTTATTACAAATAACGCCTGCGTAATCGAATACTGGTAAAATAAAAGATCTGTAAATAATTTCTAGTGATTTTCGAGAAATATGATAATTAAAACTACGAAAACAGTCTGCCTGTGACCTTACATTTGAAATTAGATATTGGTAGTCGTCTGGCATGGATTTGTAAAAAAACAGGTCAAGGTACTTATGCTGTTTGGTATCTCTTTGACGTGGGCATTATGGAATACGAGATTATAAATCTTTATTTTACAATGAGCGACAGTGAAATGGATCTACGGCGATTAAGTACATAGCGGTATCATAGGTCAAATGTGGTATATTTGAATTAACATTTATTCATTGTATAGTTAATGTAAGCCAGGAAAAAATAGCGAAGCAAGCACGGAACCCTGTGGTACCCCAGATGTAATGGTGTTTACAATCGGTTTTCAAACCACACGTGAACTAATAAAGGGAGGTAATTCCCCCCGACAGGACAATTTGCTCAATACTAATTAAATACTACCAAATACCACAACACAGTACCTCATTATTGTAAAAAAATGTTAGTTGTATTATACCAAAAGAAATTAATATATATATATACAACTAACAGTTTTTCACAATAATGGGGTATATTATATATTATATTATACCAAAAGAAATTAATATATATATATATATACAACTAACAGTTTTTCACAATAATGGGGTATATTATATGGTTATTATACGGTATTTCAAATTGCGAGTTCCATACACTATTATAATATATTGGGAACTGTAATTCTAAAACCACAGCACAGTGTTCTAGACTTTATTGCTTTTAAAAAGAAATAATATTGTAGGTCATCAAATTTACATGGTTTCTTAGAAACAGTTTTGACCAAAATGAAGTTCCTTGCCTCGCACAATACAGTAGAGAAATATGATCAGAACTTAAACACCCAAATTAATTTACCATCATCACACGACCATTTAAGTGGTAATAAGACATATAAATCTTATATAATAACTCGGGAACAGAAAAGGGCCATTAAAGAATTAAAGAGTTAACAAGAATTGACTTTACTCACTGTAACGTTGCATTAAATCCCCGACTAGCTCAATATCACAATCAAACGAAATTATCTGTAAAAACTATCTTGAAATAATATCTTGTGTAAAAATGGCCTAGAAAAATACCACCAAAGTTATAAATAAATCTTCGCGAATGATAACCTTATTCTTATACCATCTGATAAGGTCCTTAACATTTAACCTAGAGAGAGAAATTAACACATAGTTCAATTTTATTTCAATACTTCGGCTGCGCGTAGGGGTCTTTAGCAATGGTAGGAAACTGGAGGACCAGGAGAAATCCTACGAGGTCGGACAGGCGGGGAATCGAGAGTACGCCACTCGACTCAATGACAGACCTTTCGATTCAATGCCCACATATGAGTTCAAAACTTGATTAAGGGCCTGATGAAATTCGCGACAATTGTCGAGTAAATTCTATAGTTATACTAATCACTCTTAAGTTGGCATAAAATTAAACATTGACGAAAACCACCCAATGTCTTCATTCTTGGGAATGAATAGCGTATTGGTTAAAATTTGATTTAAAAAATACACCCAAAACATAAATGACAAGGCTGAACAAAGAATTTTGAAAATCCATTAACGGTAAAAAAAGGGGAGTTACCTCCCTTTCTATCAAATATCTGCAATAGATAACAGTATGTCAGGTGATGCTGCATGACGCACAAAAAATACCCATCAAA